TATCATCTATGGGCACAAAGTTGGTTGAGAGGTAGGGTCTTGGAAACAGTGGCGGGGTTTTCTTTGCCATGAGGGCTCCGTTATCCCCCCCTGCTTCCACTGAATGTTATTGGCAGCATCAATAATTTGTGCAGGTCCTGCCATAGTTGGTGGTAGGACTCCCGGATTGCATCTTTGACGACGGGGTCCAATTCCTCCTGATAATCCCGGATAAAGGATTTCCAGGCTTCATGTGTTTGTGATGTGTTCTCCTCTTCGATTGCTTGCTGGGCTTGCTGCAGTCCAAATTGGTGGCTTTTCCTTTGATGGGAACATCTTGCTCTCCAGGCCAGCATCAGGATGTGCAGTCTCATATAAGAGAAGAGGTTGGTGGCGAAGGGAGACCATTGCGACATCAAATGCTGGTTCCTGCCGCGCAGTAGGAGACCAAGGTCCCATGGGATGTGCCAGCCCGTGAGGGAGTGGAAGAATGCATCCCACCTCTGCCACATTTGCGTGACCATCGGGCAGGCCAGCAGGCAATCCTCCAGTGTTGCCCGGGCTGGTGGTGTCGACCTGCCGCAGTAGGAACAGATCGGGGACAGCAGCCCTTTCTGTTCAAGATCTGTTCCTGACACTAGCAAGTCAGGAGTGGGCAGACATCGATGGAGGATTCGCCATTGCAGAGCTCTAAGGTTCGTGGGCATGATCTTGGAGTACTTGAGACAGGGTAAGTTCTCCATCATTTGTGGGTCTAGTGGCGAGTCACGAGCCCATCTGTGGGATACGGTTTCGTCGATCAGTGTCTGCGGGCGTGAAGTTCTGTAACCCTCTTTGACTGTGTAGTCCCAAATGTGCATCGGTTTGGGTCCTGGCCACTCCCATTCCCCCGGGTCAAATGGCAGTCTGGCCAGCGGAATTGTGGGCTCATACACAAAGAGTCCCACCTGTTGGTCGGAACTTGGTCCCCAACGACACTTATGTGCATAAGCCCCACCCAAATTTTGCTGCCATCCAGGTTGTCATTCCGTCACTTCCGTGTGAGTTTAGAGAACCTGACGCCTGGTAGGTCGGGGACATACGCTTCCAGTGAGCACAGCCCATCCTCATTTCACTGGACCCTATATAATCCTAGTCCCAGTGAAGTTTTTAATTGAGTGTGGGATGCTTCCCCGACGATGATTGGTGAATTGAGCGGAGTTTGGCATAATTCTACCAGTGTGTTCTTAAATGAGCTTTTTTATTTACTCTCTCTTGCCTTTCTTTTGCTGTGCTTTCCCTTCATTTGTGGTTCTCTGTGCAGACTCAATTTGAAAGATACAGTGGCACATCCAGAAAGGGATTCTATACGCCTCAGTGCCTCATTGAAGAAGTAAGTATGCATGAAAAGCATTCCTCTGTTTTTACAACTTTTTTTTTCCGTTTTTTTTTTTTTTTTTTTTTTTTTTTTTTTAAATCCACTAGTACCTTTGCGGAGTGGGAAAATAGTGGGCCTCGGGTGGGCCTCTGACCTTTTAGGAGGCCGAAACTAAACTACGGCCGCCGATGTGATTTATCAATGGCAGCCGTCGTCGGGCCCAGCTCCGAAATCTTCGGGAATGGGTTGCTCGAACTCATTGCTGTCTCCAATTTTTTGTGTTTTCAGACTTTCAGTCCTTCGACCTCCTCCATGCAATACACCTTTCACAATGCACAAGTTGTTCCTGTGCTCTCCTCCTTACGACAAACATTTTGTGACTCAGTTTGACAACAACCGCCATCTCTCTACCTTTGCAGTACTCCTTCCTTCCTCCTGTTTGTGCATTTTCTGTTTTCCGTTCCCTCCAAACAAGTGAAAGCCCAGCCTCCCTCTCTATACCGTTCCCACCACTCACCAGTTTCTCAATCAATGCGTTTTACACTTCCCTGTGGATCACCCGTCGTCCATTCTGCCACCATCGTTCCCTGCAATGTCTTTCGCTGTCCATCTACATTCAACTTTATCCTTTCTTCACTCTGCTTCCCTCCATCTCCACACCGCTATCTCCACGTGCAAACAAACACACGAACCATACACCACCCCACCTCCAAACTTGCTCTTAGATTTTATTTTTTTCCGTTTTCTCTAACTCCCAAGTGGTGACTCCCCAGCCTTTCCCAATGACCCGCCCCTGTACAGCGGAGCACAATTGTCCCCTGGAAGGGGGACCCCTTCGCCTGTACTATCTCGAACCACAAAATCAAGGACAGCCGTACATCATCAGGTTAACTAAGACAGGGGCGAGGGGTGGTACATCCTTCCCGGGGGAAGCAATCAATGCAGTCCACTCGGACCTCTCAACCATAATGGGGAGGAGTGTGTGTGAGTACCATTGTATTTTGCTTTGACATGCCGGTGGAATAGGAACCGGACTGACACTCCCAAGAATGGAAGGAGCAAGAACCCTAAGGTTCTGTTTTTGTTAGAAAAACATAAATAAAAAGAATAATACAGAGAAAATGATCACCTCAATAGTATCCCTTTTCTGACATAAATCTACTCTGAAGTTTAAACGTTCTTATCGTTACCCCTTTCCTTTCTCACGTCCTCTCCACATCAACACCCTTTTTTTCCTCTTTTGCTCTGTACATATATTTCATTGTGTTTAAAAAAAAACATATACTTCATTGTCGAACTACAATGACTGACTGCAATCATGTCATTATCCCTTCCTAATGCGGGCGAAGCCGTCCTGGCCCGTCTTTTTGGTTTCTACAACCTGTACTTGGGCTCCATTCTTTGTTCATTACCCAAAATAGTACCAACATGTTTCCTGGCGTGGCTGTAGGGGCCAAGCATCTGATACTGTCCAACGCCATTTATTCCATGGCAGACCCGGTTTGGTAAGGAGGTTAACAGTCCACTTAACTTGCAGGGCTTTCGTTTCTTGCTTTGGGTCAATTACACCATATCCCTCTCTGGCTGGTGTCCTTGTGATATAATGCCAGACTATCTTCGGTATGTAATTCTCTTTGTTGGGGTCACCCGACCAGGATATGCCCTTGCTTTGCGATTAAGCTCCTGGGCACTGTCCAAATAGAGGCTATGTACCACATCATCGGGAAAACAAAAGTATTGGTGATCAGAGCTCGGCCCAGTAAGGACGTGAATGTATTCCCCCACCTACCCATCTTAATAATTCCATTTGACAACACATTTTGGGCCATCTGAGGTGCAAAATTGCAAATCCATCTCTCGTAAGCAAGATCCCCAGATAACACGTGTGTCTCAGGTGTCTCCCATGTCATCTCGCTTTCCAGGCCCTGTAGTTGTGAAACTTCGTCCGACAACCATCATCCGACTGTTTTCTTCCAATTAATCTTAACTTCTGCTGCCAGTCTGGAAGCCTCCATCGTTCTCATTGGCGCACTGAGTGATGAATTAGAAGCTCGAATAAGGACTGTGAGGTCGTCTGCAAACATTATTACTGTTGGGTTACAGGTGGTGGGGTGTACCAACACTGACCTCCGGATGTCTCTGAATCAAGGGGTCTTTACGTAAAAAATAAGGTTATTGCCTCCATCACAAAGAGAAAAATTGAGGCCACTATTCTCAAGCTCTTTTCTCCAATGCTAGATTTTGCATGCTCCAGTGCTCCTACAATTTCAAACCATCACAGGCTAAGGCCAGGCTTTCTGCTCCGGTGAGCCGAGTCTTTCTGCAACACCTCGTTAACCGGAGGCTAAGGCCAGGCTTTCTGCTCCGGTGAGCCGAATCTTTCTGCAACACCTCGTTAACCGGAGGTTGGGGAGGCCAAGGTGCACAGCAGTGGTGGTTTAAATCACCACTGTCTTTTTGTGCGCACCTTGGGAGGGGTGGCAGTTTCTCTTTTCACCCTTTTCTTAGACCCCCAGTACACCGTGAACTGGGGTCAGAAGACGGTAGGGTGGTGGCTACATCATCAAGGGGGGAGACCCCCAGAAACCCCGCGCATTTCTTGGCTACAACCGGAGACACCCCTACGGGTGTTGGGAGCGTCAATGACTGCACGTGGGAAACCGACCACCAATGATGAACGGCTTACCTCCCCTGCACAGGCTAAGTTGCAAGGATGGGATAACAAGCATACCTCACTATTGGGGCGGGCCCTGGTGATCAATAATGTAGTTCTGGCTGCTCTGTGGTATAAGTCGGTGTTGTGGCCAATGTCCAAACTCGGGCTTAGAACCCTCAAGAGACAGTTAGCGGCCTTCTTGTGGAGAGGCAACAGCAGGGCGCCGCACACAATTAGCAGAGTAGCGTGGGATTCAGTAATTCAACCCAAAGCCATGGGGGGTGTTGGGATTTTTTTTTTTTTTTTTTTTTTAACTTCATATATGGGGAACCTACTTAACGAGGTGATAAGAGCATCCCCGGTAAGTAGGTCCCGGCGTCGAAGGCTCCATCTATTGGTGGGGAGCTACACCTGCTGGAAATCGGGTCCAGCGTCCCTGTACAACGATGTGAATGTATCTGCTGGAAAACGGGTCCAGCGTCCCTGTGCAATGATGTGAATGTATCTGCTGGAAATCGGTTCCAGCTCTCCAACTACCTATGTGTGCACGTTAAGCAATATATGTCAGATGATAGGAGATGATGGGAGACCCTATCCATCTGATCTACAGTATCTCCAAAACAAACTGAGGATTCGAGACCAATCTTATCTATCAGACGGAACCCTAACCATGATGTGATGCGTATAACACTGACGTGATGTGTGTCAGCTGGAACATGGGTCCAGCACCCCTATACAGTGGTGTGTACTTTGTCCTACCATCAGAAACGGTCTGTATGTGTACAACAATCCATATGAGTCAACATCCAAACCGTCTGTCTTCATTCATAGATTAATACATGTCCCTGGAAGGGAAAACCCTATCCCCTAACCTAGCATAGCACTATAATAAGCGAGGCATCAAGCCCAATTCTATTGATGAACTCTATGTGAGCTGGAAACCGAGTCCAGCGTCTCCATACTATGATGTGTGCAAGCAGACTGTATATGCACTTGGCTCACCGGTGTAACCAGAAGGAGCAGAGGCATTGATTACTTCCCAACGCAGGGGAAGGATTGACCTCCTGCTCATAAAGCTTATATCTCCAATACAACGATATGTATAGATGTGTATAGATGTCATTTTGCACATATGTTCACCAACAATAACAAGCGTAATCATCAACAATCATTTCATGATTAAGAGTTGAGGGTCAGAAAGGTAAGAGGCAATCAACCCTCATCATCGTAGGGAGATCATCTATCCTATCCCTACCCAGTGCCAAAAATGAGGAGATGATTCATCAAGAGGAAACACCGGGCAGGGTTGGGGGGGAACATTAAGTCGTACCCTCAACCTCAAACCCACTTTGCCAGCCACAACAAGCTACAAAATCCCCCCCACTGCACTGATGGCGGCATCTTTCCCATGATGCTGATAAGGAGCACGGATGCAGAAGCACCACTCACTGCCCTGCTGCCTCCGTAGTTGTCGCCGCAGTCATCATCGTGGCTGTTGTTATTCTTGTTGGTATTACTGTTATTGTTTTTGTTGTTGTTGTTGTTGTTGTTGTTGTTGTTGTTGTTGTTGTTGTCGTCGTTGTTGTTGTTATTGTCGTCGTTGTTGTTGTCCGTGGCATCCGTCTCACCCACCTTACCCTTTTCCCCCAATCCCTGCTCACCGTCGTTGTTATTGTTGTTGTTGTTGTTGTCAACATCCTCTCCCATCTCAACCTTCTCGTTGTTTTTGCCAACTTTGTTGTTGTTGTTGTTGTTGTTGTTGTTGTTGTTGTTGTTGTTGTCGTTGTTGTTGTCGTTGTTGTCAGCGTTCTCTCCCCTCTTGTCCATGTCATTGGTGTTCTCTCCCCTCTCCTCCATCGCGTTGCTGTCGCCGTCGTCGTCGTCGTTGTTGTTGTTGTTGTTGTTGTTGTTGTTGTTGTTGTTGTTATCCTCCTTCACTCCTATCTCAACCAGTTCGCCCATTCGCCGCTCGACGCTGTTGTTAAAGTTTCTATTGTTGTTGTTGTCATTGTTGTTATTGTCATTGTTGTTGTCGACCATCCCACCCTGCTCGCCAATCCCACCCATTCCTTGCCTCTCCTCTGCCAACCCCTGCTCCACCTCCATTATTGTTGTTGTAGATGTTGTTGTTGTTACTGTTGCCGTCGCCGCTGCCGCTGCCGCCATTTCCACCGTTGCCAATAGCCCCCACTCCCCTTCCCACTCGCTTGCGTCATCAGTGGCGTATTCCCCCTCCCCATCGCCAACTGCACTCTCATCCCTAACCTCCCACTCACCTGTGTCATCAGCGGCATATTCCCTCTCTCCATCGCCAACTGCACTTTCATCCTCAACCTGGTAGGACAGTGCCATCAAGTTA